TGAACGCACAAATCCTTTCATTAGAGCCTTAAACCCTTGTGGGTTTTAGGTAAGTTGATCCATCTCCTCTTCTAGAGATGTTAAACACGACCTCTTTAAACTACGGTCACCGTCGAGATTATTTCAAACGATATCTATGGTTTCGTTGTCTTAACACGTCAATAGTCTCAGTTTCTTATCCATTAAAGTCGAAAACTTCTTAGCTGAACTGCTCCATCTTACCCATTAAAAGGGTGTTAGGAAGTGTTCGTCCGGATTGAGATTTCGACATACTAATAGTATAAAGATATAGAAGGTCTCATTGTTCCTAACATATCACTCGTCCAATTTTTTTGTCGCTTAACTTTATTGGAGTCGACTTCAGTGGTGGGTTATGACGGTCTTCACAAGTATGACATAGGAATATAGAGATATGTAGAGGGCTCGTGTCCTAGCATATCACGGTTTTCAATTTTTATCATTCAACTTTATTGGAGTTGACTTAGGTGGTGGGTTTGTTCATTTACCCAATATATTCTCGGGGTGGATTCATTTGATGGGTTCTTAAGTTTCCTCAATTTTGACGTACGATTATAAAGATATATAAAATGTCTCGTATCCTAACATATCACTCTCTGTTCCACTTTATTGGGGTCGAGTGAGGTGGGTTTGTACACCTTCTCGACTATGACATATCAGTAGAAAGGTATAGAAAGTGGAGTTGTCCAACCATATCACTCATCCCAATTTCTTATCATTCAACACTTTGTCGGGAATCGACATAGGTGTCGGGTTTGTCCATTTTTCTCAATTTCAACGTAAACGAACATAAAGATATAGAAGATCTCGTTGTCCTAACGCAATACTACCCGTGATAGAAGGTATAAAGTGACCATCAAAACTTTTCATGCATAAAGAGAATTGAAAAGGAAGCTTCATCTAAACAAGGAAGTTCATGCTTAGTTGGGCAAACGATTCTGATAATCTGAAAATGACAAACCCAAAAAGAAAAAGAAAAAGAAAAAAGTAGTGTCTACGAATGGGATCACCCACATGTGATAAAGATGGAATTTTTGACCCATATTATATTTTGACAGACAAACTCAAAACCCCTTCAGGCAGCTCTGCAGCATGTTTGGTTGTCAGCCTGTTCTTTTGTTTTTTTCTTGTCCAAAACCGGACATAGTTGTCTCAAGTTGAATTATCAGGTTTCACTTGACAAAATAAAACCAAAAAACCCTAGCTAGGGTTATGATTATTACGATTCCCGAACAGTTCTAGAGCTGTTCGGTGCTATCATACTCGTTCTAATGCACTGGATCCCATTAAAATTTTGGAGTTGAAGCTCTGAGATCCCATATCGGTTGGAGTGTGGAAACCTCTCCCTATAAGATGCGTTTTAAATATGTTGACAAAACAACACCAAAAAACCCTAGCTAGGGTTATGATTATTTCGATTCAGCTGTTCGATGTGACCATAACCATTCTAATGCATTGAATTCTATTAAAATTTTGCCGTTAAGCTGTGAGATCCCACATTGGTTGGAGAGGTGAACGAAATATTTATTATAAGGGTGTGGAAACTTCTTTCTACTAGATACGTTTTAAAACTATGAGGCTGATGACGACACGTAACGGACTAAAACAGACAATATATGCTAGCGGTGGACTTAAGTTGTTACATAAGCATGCTTGAACGAGAGTAGCAATAAGTTCAGGAACACATTTACAAAAACAGTATCGAGCTAACTAAACCCTAAATTTTGCAAAACAAATAGATGGGGGTATTATTTTTTTTTTTCTTCATTAAAACTTCTACCGTTTATGCTCTTATTAAAAATTTGAAGTTAAGTTGTAAGATCTTACTTCGGTTGGAGAAGGGAACAAAACATTACTTATAACGGTGTGAAAACCTCTTACTACCAAACGAAGCATTTTAAACCGTGAGGCTGATGACGATATGTAACGGGCTAAAGCGGATAATATCTGCCGCATGTAAACATTCATTGTAATATGTTTTTGAGATGTTCTTGATCTATCGCTTTTTTAAAGTCAACTTCTTTTGTTTGGATTTGAACCGATCGAACGAGAAATTATTTGACGAGTCCAGCTATAACGAGTCGATTGTTTCATATCTAGGGATGTACAATAAAAAAGACCATAAATGTATCTTGAAGTTATATCTGTTGGTGGATAAAAGTCTCACGTTGGCTAATTTAGGGAATGATCATGGGTTTATAACCAAAAAATACTATCTCCTTTGTAATGAAGCCTTTTGGGGAAGCCCAAAGCAAAGCCATGAGAGCTTATGCTCAAAGTGAACAATATCATATCATTGTGGAGAGTTGTCTTCGTCTAACATGGTATCATAATCATGTCTTAAACTTAGTCATATCAATAGCATTCTCAAATGTCGAACAAAAAACTCCAAGAGAAAAGAAGGCGAGGCTCCTCAAAGGCACAGTAAAAAATGACTAAGACTCCAAAAGAAAAAGATTCAAGCCTCGATGAAGGGGAGACCTACTCTAACCTCTCTCTCTCTCTCTCTCTATATATATATATATATATATATATATATATATATATATATAGATATTTTGGATTAAAAAAATTTACCATCAACTCAATAACCCTCCTAAACATTGATGGGCTGGGACGTATTGCAGAGTTGGGCCTAAAAGGCTTTAGCGTTTAATGGGCTTAGGTTTACATCAGTTAACAATGATCCAAACCCTAAACGAATTGGATTTGGGCCTTTCCTTTTTAAAATCTGGCCCACCATTTCATTTGATGACAAAAGTCGGCCCACTAGTATTCTACGAAAAGTATTTGGGTAGAAAAGGCGCGTAATTTGCGCGCGAAAGTTCATCGTTCTTTAAAACTGAAATCGCTCTGACGAGAAGTTTGATGATTTTAGGGCTCGAAGTTAATGGCGGCTCACGTTGCTATAAGATGACACAGGTATGTTTCGGTGATTTTCTTATAGGGAAACCTCATATCCTAATTACTTTAAGCTAATATCGTTCATTAAACTAAGGATCGTTATCGGTCAGTCTCATAATCAGAAGTATCAGATTCTTTTTGTTCGCCGATTAGATTGGATTAGGTGTTTTTGTTGATCGATTCGATTCGTATGTTCAATTTACCTCTTGTTTTATGCACGACGATCCGATGATTCAAAGAATATATCTCGACATTTTTATTTCAGATTTTGTACGAGTTGCTACAGTCTTCTTTAAACTAAGGATCGTTATCGGTCAGTCTCATAATCAGGAGTATCAGATTCTTTTTATTCGCCGATTAGATTGGATTAGGTATTTTTGTTGATCGATTCGATTCGTATATTCAATTTAGCTCTTGTTTTATGCACGACGATCCGACGATTCAAAGAATATATCTCGATATTTTTATTTCAGATTTTGTACGAGTTGCTATCGTCTTCTTTTTACTTGATTTCAGGATTTCGAGGATGATTTCGTGTAAGCAGTGGTTTATGCTGATGCGTGAACCGAGTATCTTCTGAACAAAATTTATCGGTATGTATTTTGATGAACCTTTTAGTTTTACTGAGTTGAACTTGTGAATCAATTTATTAATAACCATACAACGAACATGTTCTTGTCTGGATTCCGTACTTCTAATATCTTTCATTTTTAAGTATTATAATTATAGTGATGTGTTCTTTATTTAATGAATACTATGTCTTGTTACAGATTTTCCGAATTCATAAAATAATATACATTCAAGAATCAAGTTTGCCTCCCCTAAGAACATTAGATCTATACTTGAGTTTTATTCATTTACAGATTGTTACATGCAATTAGGATCCCTCTGGTTGTAATATTCTCTTCAATATGTTATTCAAAATACTTCTCCTAAAACAAGTTTTTACCTTGCATGCTATTTTTTTTTTTTA